TGCATGCACTCACCAGAAAGACAGAGAGACAGAAAGTGAGAAATCACCACCCCCCCCCAGGAGAATGGCTACGCTACAATCCCTTCTCCATTCTCCTCTCAGGATCTTGGGCACGTACGCACATGTGCCTGGCGTAGTTTAAGCCACCAGGTCCAGGACTTGAACTGCGGTCGACTACAAGGGAGTCTAGTGACTTAGCCATTACATCAACTGCTGGTCCCATAATACACATTTTTCATGAACTTTTTAAAGATCTCTAGTCTAAGGATAGAAATCTCTTGAGCTGAAAGTCATGAACTGAATGTAAGTGTTCCTCTGAGCATCTTGAGAGGAACACTTATTGTATGTTGGATAGTCTGGTGCCTCCGGGGGGTACCCCAGTGATACAGGACCTTGAGAGTCTTGCTTTGGATTTCTGTGACTTTATCATTTCACAGGTGTCTAAATGTAGCATATGATGTTCATTGTTGTGGCTTTCGTGCTTTTTATTATTTACAAATGCTCTACTAATTTGTGAGTTCTTGAAACTATGTCATTGCATGTTGTGTGTATCCTGATAGATGCATTTGTTTATAATTCTTTTTGCTTTGTCCTCAGTTCAGATATTTTGGATGGCAGTAGTAGCAAGAGTGGCTTATCCTCAGACTCACTGGCTAAAGGCAGCGATCCCGCAGAGTCTCCAGTAGCATGTTCCAATTCATGCTCTCCGTTCATCTTGATGGATGATCTCTCACCCAAGTGACTTACCCATTTCTGAGTCAGTGTTTTAACTGCTGTTTCCTACATACTGAGGAACGCAGAGAACTTTGATCCATAACGAGGATTAAAGTTTCACAGATTTCAACCATTCCCATGCTGCTATTTTGGGGCATCTCTCTTCTCTAAAGTTCAATTTTGCAAGAGCAGTGTGACCTCACTAATGTCTGTTTTTGCTGATCTCATTTTGAATGTAGTGACTAAATCTCAAATACACATTTTTGATCGCTTAGGGGATGTGCTTTTCTGAGTGCCTCAAAGAGCACACCGATTTTCAAGTCTGTGCATCAAAGGAAGGCACTGGGGTGTGTTCCTACAGTGGTTCTTTTCCCCAGTGGTGATATGACAGAGTTGATCAGAAATTCTCTTGCTTGAGAGATTTATTTGTTCTCTGTTGGCTACATAGTGTCAGATCACTTTATTTCACAATAATATACAAATTGCTTTCGATTTCATTAGATTTTAATTTTTCTGCATCAGCTTAAAGTACATTATTTTGTTTCTCTTTCCTGTTTGAGCTGCTTACTTGCCATTTCTCACGGAAGGAAAGAAACATATCGTTGCTTTCATTGCTACCCCTCTTGCTTTTTTGCTCTGAGTATGTGAAGTAAGGATTGATTTTGGTGTCAAGAATGCAAATGGACTTACAGAATGCCTGGAGTAGTCACCACAGGTTCTTCTGACTTTGCTCTCATAGTTGATGTTTTTCTCCCCAGACCTGTTGCTCCAAAGAATATATAAAATATTGTTAATATTTCTAGGTGGTGTTATCAAGGAGAAGAAATTCCTGCCTTGACCAGATGTGTGGAGCACCTACAAATGAATGAATAATGTTATTTCCACACAAAGCGCTGTGTACAAAAGCGTCCAGGAAGCTGTCAGTGTTGCGGGTAGTAGTATGAGGCCCTAGGTGCCTTGGGGTACATTGTTATGCTGGAAGGGACGTACATCATAATGGAGGGTGGAAAAGAAGGGTTTACGTGTGTGATCGCCACATACTGTTTCAGTTGCTGCTTTTTTTTTTTTTCGGATTCTTTTTGTCATCGTTTGTTTTATCGTGTTGTGACTAGTGTTTTGATTATTGTGTTGCCACCAGAATCAGAATCCAGTTCTTGTTCTTTCTGCTTTATAGTAAGGGCAGTTGAATAGCTTAGGAAGAAGCTTTTAGGAGCTGAAAAAAGTCGATGTTGTCGTGCATTCTGCTTTTAAGAAGCTGTTTGAGCTATGAACAGTGTACGTGCCAGTAAGTGTAAGATACCGTAAGTTATTTAATTTTAAAAGAGGAAACTCCTGACTGAGCTATTTAAGAAACCTGAATGTAATAGATTGTTAATGTTATTCATTATTTATTACTGTGTAAAATGTCGTGGTAGATTTCTTTTCATGTTCAGACATCGTGGTTGGATTGTCCGTATTTAATATGCAAATCTGCCCCGCTAGGATCAGAATGCCCATTTTTAAATGAATGTAGCAAAGGGAACTACTGCGTTTGTGTCTTTTGAAGGCAAAGATGCTTGAATTTTAAAAAAAGATGATGTGCTTTGAAGGCACTCGGACTAGTGACAGTGGAGGGCTTGAAGAGAAACCCGTTCTCTGTCAATTATAAGAGAACATCACTTAACTCGCAATAGTTCTGTTAGACCATCAGATGTGTTCTTATTTTAAATTGTAATCACCACCATTATGGCCATTAATGGCTTTATTTCTTGTATTGCTTTTGTCTGTGCAAAGCCCATAATCTTTCAAACCTAGCATAAATGTATCTATTATGAACACTGTCCTCTAGTATGCCATTATGAAAAAAAATTCTTTGATGATATTCAGTGTATCTGTGTGCAAGAGCACCATGGTGAGATGTTTCTGCCTTTGTAATGATTAGAGATGGTTTTGTCTTACAGGAAATTGATCCACCTTCACTCTGCCGTCTTCTTTGCCTTAAAGGGACACTTTTGGTCATCATTTGGGGGCTCTAATTTAAGGCCATTAAGAAATAAACTTTGGAATGTGATACCTACATTTATTTTTTAAATTCAGTGGTGGGGTAGAGCTGGGGCAGGAAATTGAAATTGTTTCAACGATATGAGAACTAGGAGGCAAGACGATTCACTTTATTGTTTAAACCAAGGTTTATTTTAGTTTGTATTTTTTAAATGGACTAGAAAATTCAGTTTATGCAGGGATTTTTTTGAAATAGATAAAAGAGAGATGCTGATCCGCAGATGAGTTTTGTTGACAGTACCCCTTTATTTTTATATAAGGCCTAATATTTGAAAAGTGATCATTGTTATAAAGTCGAATTCTCTCTTCCTATTCTATCATACTGTATTTTGGGCTTCTATTTGAAAACAGATACAAGCAATGAGACTGTATACTAAAGTCCTGTAGATACTGTTTTTGCTTGACTGACTTATATACTCACTGTATTTCATAACTGCTTTTGTAATAATATGAAGTTTTGTGAAATGCTGGCCTTGTGTATATCTTAGAATGCAAATTTAATAAAGTGTATACACCTGCATAAAATTTAGTAGCATTTTCAAAGTCTCTTTTATTAACAATTATTTTCTGCCTCTATATCCTAATAGTTCATTGTCTGTGTCTAATTGTAGGCCATGTTTTGAATAAAAGGATATCGGGAACACAAAAGGACTAATAGTTATATGGAAGCCGAGGCTGTTTCCCACAACAAAGAGAAACCTCTCCACACGATCTGTCAAATTTTCAAGTGTATTTTGTAGAATTTGACAGTTTAGGAGATTCTTGCCAGTGTCACACATATTTCTTACTTGTTTTTAATTTCTTTTATCTTGTTTATATTTTTGGCACGTTTATAAGCCTCTGTAAATTGTTTTTAGAACAAGGTGGGGGTGGTGAGTAAACAAGCATAAATCGTAAATTGGTTTTTGCACAAATTGGGAGAGTGAGTAATAGGCAAAAATGAAAGCCTTTTCTGTATGACTCAGGTTATAAACACTCAATATTATTATTTTTTGATCTTTATAAATATATGAGCTACTTTATATGAAAAGACTTTACATTATGAAATAATTTCAAACTTACAAAAAAGCTGCAAGAATAGCTTGAACTCCAGACAGTTTCCCCAATTATTAATATTTAATCACATTTGCTTTATCATGCTATGTGTGTGTGAGAGCGAGAGATTTATTTTTTTTTTTTTTTTTTTTTACTGAATCAGCTGAGGATAAGTTGCAGACGTTACACCCTGTTACCCTTAAATGCTTTGGTATAAATTTATTAAAAATGAAGATATTCTACATAATCACATTACAGCTATCAAAATCAGGAAATTAACTTTGATACAAAACTCATCTACATACCCATTCAGATTTTGCCTCTGGCCCTGATAATAGTCTTTTTAGCAAAAGGAATTTTTTCCCCTTTCAGTCCAGTATTCAATATAGGCTATGTGTTGCTAACCTCAGTCATTTTGTGTCTTTGGTCTTGCCTCAACCTGGAAATCCCTCAGTCTTCTCTTTTGTGGTCCTCGTATTTTTGAAAAGTACTAGCGAGTTATTTTGAAAAGTGTCCCTCAGTTTGGGTTTGACTGTCATTTCCTCGTGATTAGATTCAGGTTATGTGTTTGGGGCAGAGATACCACAGCAGTGATGCTGTGTTTGCAGCCTATCGTTTCTGGAAGACTGTGATGCTGCTTTGTCTTGTTCCTGGTGATGGTACCCTTAATCCCGTATCAAGGGTGGGGTGGGGGAGTCTTCTGTCTTTCTATACTATACAGCTGGTCTTTTTCCCATTGAAGTTAATGTTTTATAGGTGATACTAGTAAAACTATAAATATCCTGTTTCCACCTCAAACTTTCACCCACTGGTTATAGTATTCATTGATCTTTCTTGCCTGATGATAGTGCAGTGCCTACCTAATGCCGACTCTTTAATTCTATTATTCCTTCATTATCCCTTATACATTTATTAGCTGGCATTCTACTATAAAGAATGCTCCTCTTGGGACCAGCAGTTAGCATAATAGCTATGTCACTGAACTCCCATGTAGTCAACCGCGGTTTGAGTCCTGCACCCAGTGGCTTAAATGCACGCCGGGCACGTGTGCGTGCGTGCCCAAGATCCCGAGAGGAGAATGGAGGAGAAGGGATTGTGGCGTGGTCATCCCCCCTGGGGGGTGATTTCTCGCTTTCTGTCTCTGTCTCTCTCTGTCTTTCTGGCGAGCACATGTGCCCTATAGCAAAAACCTCTCCAAAAAAAAAGAATACCCCTCTCCTAAAAAAGTCCAGCCTATGGCATAGTGGTTACGCTGGCTGGATCCCACATGGCCTACTGAGCTGTTGAAGTGATGGACCTGGCTGAGAAACATTCTGGGCACGTGTGTGTTTCAGACTTGGCAGGCTGAGAAACACTCTGGGCATGTGTATGTGCATGCCCTAAATCCTAAGAGGCGAAAAGATGGTGGCATGGCCATCCTCCCTGGGGGATGCTTTCTCACTTTCTCTTTGTCTCTCCAGTGAGGGCATGCACCACTGGCAAAACTGGGACAAAGAAGAAAGAACTTTCACTGTTTACTTGCATCAGTGTGGACTCCCGTTTTAGTCAGGGGATTTTAATTCCCTGCTGTGAATTCTTTGATAATCAAGTTGTCTCTGATATGGACAGGGAGAGCCCTCTGAGCTTATTCCTGAGCCCTTTTGATAAATCCCTATCACTTTTTTAAGCTATTTTTCACTTTCTGGCACAAGGTGTCCCAGATTCAGACTTTTCTTGCCCCAGACCCTGGGATCGGCCATGTCTCTAAGAAGCACTGATTCCTTTTAATGGAGATTGATTCCAAAGCCAAGGTCTGGTGCCAGCTACCACAGTGTGCACTCATTGGTGCTGATGCTACATGGGAGGCCAGAGTTCAGTTCCTGACCCACCATAAAAGCCAGGCACAGTGGCCTACACCTGTAGCCCTGGCTATTTACGAGGCTGAGGCAAGAAGATTGTGACATAGTGAGACACTGTCTATAAAAACAACAGCAAAATTTAATAGTAGGTGCCCTTGGTGTGATCATTGCTACTGGAACATCATGGTTTAAAGGCCTCAGCACAGAGAAAATATGTACATGTATAACATACGCTGTGTAGATGTATATGTACAAGTGGGGTCTTCAAAAAGTTTATGGGGAACCAGCAGTTAGCGTAATGGCTATGTCGCTGGACTCCCACGTAGTCCACCACGGTTCGTGTCCCGGACCCGGTGGCTTAAAACTCACGCCGGGCGCGTGTGCGTGCGTGCCCAAGATCCTGAGAGGAGAATGGAGGAGAAGGGATTGCGGCGTGACCATCCCCCCTGGGGGGTGATTTCTCGCTTTCTGTCTCTATGTCTCTCTCTGTCT